GCCGAAACATCACATTTAGAGTAGTATAAGAGTACATGCAGGGAGCTACCCATACACTTTCAACTAGAAGGGTTTACTGCTAGGGTCTCGTCAAGATAACGAAGTTGCGCAAGTTACGTCTTATGCACATAAACAGGCGAAACTGGGACATTCAAACCGCATTATCCCTTAAGGCTCCCCCAAGTTGTTACATAAGGAGGGTGTTACCTAACGGTGTACTCCACATACCCATCACATAAATGCACATGATGCATGTCATACATTCACAACTTCATGGACTCATCACTTTACTTGTCATAGAATTTCACGTCTTGTCTCATTTCATCACATTTTACATTCTCATAGTCATAGTCATATGGACACCCACACATTAGTTCTCACATTCATAGTATTCACAACAACACGTAATTCACATAAGATCAATAGTTGTATATCACACATTCAATTAATCATTTATAAGCATATAAAACGTGTAAAACATCAATCGGGCCGAGCCCAACGTGCCTCAACTTATGCCCGGTGAATTAAATGCCCCACCAAACGCGGAGCAGCATGCCTAGTGCTCCCAACGAATTTAATGTTATGCCTAAAGCGGATAAACCCGTCGGCATAGCTTTACATGAGCCCAACTCAACTTTCCTAAGCTCGACTCAACTTTCCTACACTCGACGCAAAGAAGCATGCCCAAAACCCCAGTGCGAACTTGCAAAACCATACTTCACAATCACGCGATTTATCACATATAAGCACATATTTATACAATTTATTACATACAAATACTTCAATGGACACCTAGAATACAAATCCATACTCAATTTCACATTAAACACTTTAATTTTAGTCAGATGATCATGTCCCTAATTGTTTCTCATAGGGGCACTTATAGAGCACTCTAATCTATATCAAAACATACCCAAACTCAAAATTATATATACCCTCATGCTTAGTGATCATCAGGGAACATAACAAAAACATCAAACATCAAAACAAAAAAACTCACAATTAGCCTATTCATAAAAGCATACATTAGGCAGCAGATTGAGGTCAATTCTGCTACCCAACAGATATTTCTCAAGCGAGGTTTCTCACTTCCGCCTTACCTGGATGAGCAAAAGATGAAACCTCTTCCTCCTGGTTCTCTTAAGTCTTCAAAGCACGTAAAAAAGAAACGAGAGACTACAGGAGAAATTATTTGTATATTGATTAAATATCTGTTCGCATATGATTTTTCACGTCCAATTTAAAACGATAAATATCAGCTTTTATACAAATCAAACATTTGAATGTAAAGAGAAAAGAAGAAATTGTGTCAAAAAATTATATCAAATACAGATTATATATATATATATA